ACTCGACATGGCACGTACCAAGCAAACAGCACGTAAATCTACTGGTGGAAAAGCGCCACGAAAACAATTGGCAACAAAGGCTGCTCGCAAGAGCGCACCTGCTACTGGCGGAGTGAAGAAACCACATCGTTACAGGCCTGGCACCGTCGCTCTTCGTGAGATCCGCCGTTACCAGAAAAGTACAGAGCTCCTGATCCGAAAGCTGCCATTCCAGCGTCTGGTTCGAGAAATTGCGCAAGATTTCAAGACCGACCTTCGATTCCAGAGCTCCGCCGTGATGGCCCTACAAGAAGCCAGCGAGGCATACCTAGTAGGTCTTTTCGAAGACACCAACCTGTGTGCCATTCACGCCAAACGTGTAACCATCATGCCCAAAGATATCCAACTTGCCCGTCGCATCCGCGGTGAGCGAGCATAAGTCGTATGCCTAGCATACACAAACCAAAACGGCCCTTTTCAGGGCCACCACATCCTCCAAAAAGAGAACTACCGTCAAATGAACGCACCTATACCACATTATCACGATCACAAATAAATAAATAAATACATACATCCACTTACACATAAAGTAAGTGCGTGTCAGTTTGTTCTGACGATAGCAATTATCTCACGTCCTTTGTTTCTTTCTAACCAATACCATATGTGAAGGTGTTAAGGAGACAGGGTTGGACCAGCTGCGAGTGCGAAACAATGGAAAATTATGTAATAATGTGTGGATTGGTGACGCCAACAACGGCACGTATTTATTTTTGCGAGACATTGTCCTAAAACAACCGAAATCATTTTTGAAACGAAAACTAAGGGTATTGTTTTGTAGAATAATTTCACATGACCGTTCACATTCTTAAAATTGCTTCGTACTTTGCCCGATGTTGTTTTTACGACCAAGCGCCGAGTACAATGCTACAAGGGGCAAGGTACGATCCACAGCACTCTTACGCACCTTGAACGGGAAATGTGCAATATCGCGTACAATATCGGTTTGTCGTATATGAATCACACAACGTACTATATTTATTAATGAAGTGAGCTACACATTCCATTTGATTTGTCATTTACGTGCGTTAATTCTTGAAGTAGTACGAACGTATGCATTTTTGAAAATGAAAATGACAGTCAGCATGTATACTGTAGTTACACATGCGGTAAATAATGATATATGAATGATAATATGTATATGAAAACGAAGCACACGACGTGCTCCACCCAGTGTGATAGTTGGATATATATTTAAAGTCACTTTTCATGGTGTAATGTGAGTTTAATTGCCAAAAACAAAAACAAACTCTGGTCGAAATGGAGAAATGGCACTCAGTTCACACTTATGTTTCCTCTGACGTTCGATTGCTATCGGCGCTCTGTTAAAAGACAAATCCCGTCACTCTATTTTTGTATTCTGCCTGTATCTCTTCAGCAGCAAACATTCTTAAACCTGCACCATGGTTGAATCGACCTCAAACAAGTCTGTGAAGAAGACGAAAGTTGTAGCTAGTCATCCTAAGACAATGGATATGATAGTTGAAGCTATTCAGGCACTGAAAGACCGGAAAGGGACATCAGTACAAGCAATCAAGTCATACATTTTGACTCACCATTCTACTGTCAGCCCGGCTCATATCACATCCAGTCTACGCCGTGCAATTAAATCCGGCATCGAGTCTGGGTTGTTAGTTCGTCCCAAAGATTCTAATGCTAATGGCGTAAATGGTCGTCTCAGAATCGGCAAGCTCCCAGAGAAGCCAAAAAAGAAGGCAGTAACCAA